TTAATATTGAGACCAAACGTATTATCTATAGAGGTGGCTAAAAAAATTGTTAAGAGCAAGTTGACAAAGAATAAACTATTGCTAAGAACGCAAATATGACACTTGTTTGTTAGGTTATCGGGTCTATAATAGAAAATATTGCCACCCACGTTGTATAAACTTTGTGGGGTAAATTACTTAAATTATAAGTGTAAACGCATTGGACGTCGCTGCTGTTAACCTTTTTGTCCGATAACTCTGATATCTGCGTTAATGTATATTGCGTATCAATTTAATTCTTTTGTAGGCAGAACTCTTCGAATTTTTCATTAGTTAGACCTGCATTTATCGACACCATAGTAGACCGTTTTTATGTAAACATTACGGATAAGTGCTATAACTAGTATAAACATCGTATTAATTAAAAAGCATAAATTACAGTTATTCAAAAATCGAGTCACTAAATCATAAGATAATAGATAGACAATGTTAATTTTGTAAATTGACTTCATTCATATCAGCATACATATAACTACCGTAGAGCACTGAATATACAGTAGTACCAAAAATGGCTCGAGTTTTTGATAATACAGACGCATCTCGTAGTGCTAAAAAATCTGGTTTAAAATCGGATAAAGCGAAACTTGGTTTATTAAATTCAGCACTTTCCGCAACTTATGGGATAAAGTTTAAAGCTACTAACAATAAACGAACTCATTATCATCTAGTAGGTCCGTTCGATAAAGAAAGCGCACCAAAGTTGCCACCATATCAAACGTGTGAAGGACAATTCTATGAAAATGGTGAGGATATGCGTTATGGATATAGTAAACTCTCACCCGATGAAATAGGAACATCTCCTAGTTCTGACATACTGTCGTATGTCAGATTGGAATGTGTGAATATTGTTTGTCCAAGTTGTTCTATTACCCATATTACTCATTAGCTTTTGTGTGGACGTTAGTACTATCGATTGACTATATAAGCGAATACTATCTACTAGCAATAGTTATATCAATCATGTCGTCGAGAATACCGTTAACGGAATTCTTTACATACTGTGGCTGATTTCATAGACTAATCATTTGTATTAACTATTCCAACAGCACTTACAGAGACTAACGCCTATGCCTTTTATTTTGCGTTCAAATTACATATGCTTACCTTAATTGTCAGTTGCCTGATACAGTAGTATTCCAAATATTTATCAAATATTTGAACTATATGCAGTTGGTCGATTACTCCGCCACCTCCTAAACTTTTTTACTAATGAACTTATTTGGCATGTTAACATGGAAGAGTACTACAAATTCTGTATATTTGCATTCCCACCTAACAATTGAAACCCGTTTTGCATTCTGTGGTAAATCAGATCTTCCCGATCGAAATTTTGATCACTGTGATGTGCAAGCACGCATTACTATGGATTATGCCAGTTAGGGTGCTCTTCTTGGTATATTAAGCGTTCAACACTCAACTGCTAATCTTGAAATAATTGAACCCGGTATTCATTATATAGAACTGGACAACATGCCTAATAGAAATATAACATTGCATAAAGCCGCTTCAGCTCAAAGCTTAGTTAATTTGACTGAGATTAGATGTAGTTGTAAGACTAGTTTCGATGTGCTTGTCGCAAAGCCGCTGTCATTTGTAACTTAAACTGCCACCCTCATAATCGACAGTGCAGTAATGTTAACTAAATACGTTTGCAGTAGAGTTGATATCGCAATGTCAAATAAATACTTTTATAATGTTGTTACTTGATTGTCTTTGCGATTCCAATCTGACATGCGTGTCCATTCCGAATGGACACAAATTCCAAACTAACACTGATGAGAATCGTAACTGTTTCTCGGTTTAGGCAATACCGGACTGCAGCTTGCCAAGTTCAGAAATAGAGTTAGGAGATGTATGAAGACAACGACTGGTTACACGTTGATATAAAGAAAGTCAATTTACAAAATTAACGTTGTTTATTATTGTGATTCAAATTTGGATAACTTGTACTTTATGTTTATTTAATTAAATACGATTTTATACTTATAATAGCGCTAATCCGTAAAGTTAGACGGTAACATAGCATGCTATTCGCAATAAATGTTCAATAATCGGGAATTTACCTGCCATGTTGCACAGGTCGTGCAGGCTCAAATATTATCCCTTCATTGGACACTCAGATGGCTTCTCCTCCATAAATAGAAATATTATGGACTGAACGATGTGTCGGGCTGTGCAACCTGGCTGATAATCTAAAAACACCTTTGATATCAAATGTATGAGCATCACGCAAAAGCCATTCTGACCAAGTAAAAACTATGTATGATGCAATCGGTTCTATTCATGAAAACGCTGGGTACGGAAGGACATTCGACAAGCTCAAGAAACGATATAGCTACATTCCCAGAAAATTAGTTGTCTTGTCAATGCATGTAGCCTCTGTACAAGTCGATGGCCAATGTTGATTCTAATATCTGCAAGCCCATTATTGCCAATGAATTTATGTCGCGGGTTCAAATGGACTTGATTGATCTGAGAATTCAGCCGGATGAATACATAGCTCATGACAGAAATTATTTCCTGAAATCCAAGATATAAACACTGGGTACTGCAAGCGTTCGGTATAATGCAAATTGGCGAAACGAAAATTCTATTACTCAAAAAATGTGTGTCAGAGAGAATATGTGCGATGTAATTTGTTTTATACAATGTGTATTCAGCGTCAACAAATAACTGCTAGTTGATAAGAAACTTTTATTATTCATATTAGCTACTTACAAATTCGCTTGTTCGGGTGTTTATTATATTGTTGATATCATTATTGCACATTATCAAGTGATATAATGGTTTTGTGTTTGATGAATGGGCCATACGCATAGTTATGGGTCAAACCACATAGAACAAGTTGTGTCTTATTGAAATATAACGCTAAGTAAAAAAATGCTTGTCATACATATTTGGTATACTACATAGTCGTTTCAGTGGCGCAGGTGACTTCTGCGCCAATTCCCACATATATTACGTTAGAAATTATAAACTAAAAAAAAAAAAAAATAATTTTTTTCTCCTTTTCTATTTGCTACTATGTCGAACTCCAAGGACCACATTCTTGAGTATTTGGACCTGGACAATTTGGACTTGATCGATCTGAGAATTCAGCCGGATGAATACATAGCTCATGGCAGAAATTATTTCCTGAAATCCAAGATATAAGCACTGGGTACTGCAAGCGTTCGGTATAATGCAAATTGGCGAAACGAAAATTCTATTACTCAAAAAATGTGTGTCAGAGAGAATATGTGCGATGTAATTTGTTTTATACAATGTGTATTCAGCGTCAACAAATAACTGCTAGTTGATAAGAAACTTTTATTATTCATATTAGCTACTTACAAATTCGCTTGTTCGGGTGTTTATTATATTGTTGATATCATTATTGCACATTATCAAGTGATATAATGGTTTTGTGTTTGATGAATGGGCCATACGCATAGTTATGGGTCAAACCACATAGAACAAGTTGTGTCTTATTGAAATATAACGCTAAGTAAAAAAATGCTTGTCATACATATTTGGTATACTACATAGTCGTTTCAGTGGCGCAGGTGACTTCTGCGCCAATTCCCACATATATTACGTTAGAAATTATAAACTAAAAAAAAATTTTTTTATTTGCTACCATGTCGAACTCCAAGGACCACATTCTTGAGTATTTGGACCTGGACAATTTGGACCTGAACCGCACTTACACTCCCGAAGAGTTTGAAATTATCAGCGACCAGCTTAAGTATCGCTCTTTAATAATCGACGACGAACCCATCTGCTACTTTGAGCTAGACAAATCTGGCAAACTCGTTCCAATGCCACCAACCGTGTTTCGCAAAGAATATGCTGTCCTTGAGATCGCGACACAATTCAAACTCTGGAACGAGGGGACTCGGCAGAAGGGGGCAGTGACTTCCTCACAAGGAGGGTTTAAACTTGAAGGTGGTGGAATTGTAGCACCGGACG